AAAATAACATGTTCATCAAAATTTATTGATGAGTTACTAGAACAAAACATAAATGTACAAAAGATTTGGCCCGGTGACTAAACAGCAACATTATTATTTTTTTATTTACAAGTATAATAAAGCAAACAGCAAAAAGTAGAATTTATGCTGCAACCGCCTTAGCTAACGCATATTACCGAGATGTGGCTTCACTATTTCCATTTTTATGGTAATGGCCTCCAGTGATTTTCGTCCGGTCAAAGAAACAAGAAAGTGTTCGCCCTCTTTGAGATGAATCCTCCAGGGAGCAATCTCCCTAAAGGCCTCGATTTTCTGTGCATCAGTAAAGACAGCGAAGCTGCTGAAGAAAGAAAACAATATTTACTTTAATTCATTACTTTTTGGAAGGTTTAACGACTGTGCCGCTATGCGTTATGAGGCATCCAGTGACCTAGCATTTTTTTAGGGTATTGCGATTAACTGGTTTCCAAGACACAACATAACCAAGTTTCTTCTAAAAGGTTTTATGAGCCATGGGTCAGCTTTTTTATGATCTCTTTTAGTTCGGGTTTTTTTTCTTTTTTTCGGTTTTTCTTAGTTCAAAGCTTGGTTTGTAAGCAATTGGATATCCCGGTTCACCGAAACATTCGAAACCTTGGTTGTTAGAGATTTTATCACACGGTTTTCAAGACATTCCATGACTCGGTTCTTAGGCACTTTAACCTTATTTTCAAGTTTCACTCTATCTTGTACTGAGCGAAATAATTATTTTTCAGCCATCTGACAAGTCAGGAATACATTTCCTTGTAGTGCCTATTCGAGGATGGTTACACCGTTTACACAGGAGATTATTCCTTTTCACTTAGCACTCTGTAAATTTTGGAAGGAAAAATTTATGACATGTTTTCACTTTTGATCTTCATCCAAATCCACATATTTCCCCAATCGTAAAATTCTAATTCAAAACAGTTACGAATTCAGAATGTTTGCTAGCAGAAAATGAAATGGGATCCATGTTTGAACCGATGATTTGGACAAAGGTGGACTGTACGAACAGAAGGTTCTTCCTGTCCTTGTCCAGTAGCAATTTCCACTTTCTATTAAATTTTGAGAAAATTGGTGACCCCAATGCGGCGTGCATGTCCGGCAGAATCCTCCAGGTGAAGATTGCTTTTTCCTCCCCTCTAATAGGTACAACGAGGAGACAATTCTGCAAAGGAAATAAATTCAATAAGGTTACACCCGGAAAACAAATCAAAGCGTCGTATTTTATTTTGTAAAATTGTATTTTTTCAACAACTTATTATAATAAAAACTCCGTTGCTGCGTCTGGGTTTGACAGTTTGGGTTAGAATTGATACCGGGCACCAAGTGTGAACACTGCCTTAGCACTCTGTAAATTTTGGAAGGAAAAATTTAAAAAGAAATGGGATCCACCCCTTGGACAAAGTGGACATGCAAAGGAAATAAATTCAATAAGGTTACACCCGGAAAACAAATCAAAGCGTCGTAATTGTACTTAACAAAACTCTGTTGCTGCGTCTGGGTTTGACAGTTTGGGTTAGAATTAATAAAAAGCATCTTAATTTACCATGACTGCGTCCCACAAAGTCTTTGACCTTTCCTGCTCCATTAGGTCGAGATGGCGGGAAGTGGAGCCGCTGTCATGTGCCGCAATTTCTTCCCGGCGAAGATAAGTGTGACAGCCAGCTACCCGGTACGCGTTCATTACTTTTCCACATGTAGCCATGTGGACTGGAATCAAATATCTGCGTTTGAAAGGAAAGAATCTCAGTTAGAGTCAGCCAACCCCATACTAATTAATTTCGACTGTACAGAATCTCGTCAAAAACTAAAGAAAGAAACACGTAATTAAAAAAAGCTATTGTAACTAGACCGGCAAATGGACATCTGGCAGATATTCTATAACTGAGGGTTGCTTTCAACCAAAATTCAATGAGAAACGCACTTAAAGAAGATGTGGCAGATCGATCTTTGTGTCAAGCGTATCACGTAGAGTTAGTTGCAAATTTGAGAATGAAAATAATTACCACTATATTCGTCACTTTGTCAAGTTTGAAACACAGGAGCAAGTAAGCCACAGTTAGCATTCACGATAGAGGCGAAGTTATAAATATGCCGCTATAATGGTTGTTTTGTGTAATTCATTGACGTGGCGTTTAATTGACACCTAAAACCACTACCGGAAGAAAAAAGTTAAAATTAAGCGCGGCACACTCTAGAGCTAGCAGCTGAGCTGATTGTCACTCGTGGCTGTTGGCGTAAGCTGTTTCCTCAAGTGTGCGGTGTCATGTTCTGCGATTTTTGTCACGCGTGCCATGAGCTCAGAATATTCAACATGTTGAATAATTTCGTGCACGAGTGAACATTGACTCACAGTGTGCGCGCGTTTTGAGCTATCAGCTCAGGAATCAATGCGAACGCGCATGCGTCCTTGCCATGTTTTATTGAAGTCAAGATGGCCGATGTCGGTGAAAATCTAGATTCAAGCTCGTCGGAGGATGAAGAAGTTTTGCTTTCCCTTTTAATGCTGTGACGAAGACGAAGACGAAGACGAAGACGCTTGAGAGCAGCTAACCGAAAGACGTGGGTAAAATCTTGGGTTTCACGCCGCCAAACCCAAGGGGCATGTGCAAATATTGTTCGCAAATTGAATTATGAAGATCCAGAAAAATTCAGACAATATCACCGACTAGACAGAACTTCATTTGAAGAAATTTTAGCGTTGATATCCCCGTTGATCGAAAAGAAAGACACTCAACTACGTTGCTCGATAAAGCCCATTGAACGATTGTCCGTGACATTACGTTTTTTGGCTACAGGTTTGTCTACAATTTGCTTCCCAGTTTTGTGGTATTGTAATGATTAGTTGACAGACTCGGACAGAGAGCTTTTTCATTAATTAATGCATTTTTATAAAACTTATTTTAAGGAGAAACATTTAGAAGTCTTTCTTTCCAATACCGAATTGGTGAAAGAACAATATCAGGAATAGTTGAAGAAACATGTCAAGCCTTGCATGAAGTTATGAAAGACAAATATTTAAAGGTATAAAATTTAATTTTGTAAACTGTATAGCTATGAGATAGTAAAACGTTTATTATAAGTATCAGTAAACAGTATTATTATACAACAGTATTTTGCTCAATATTATAGCTTTGTAATTAAAGTTTGCCAACTACTTGTCCTGTTCAGTAGTGGTCCTCTCTGTGGGGCACACTATTTTGCCCATAAATTGGATGTTGTTGGCTTTGTGAGGTACCAGGCATGATTGGGTGGAAATAATTTCTCTGGGGTTGGGGTTGAATCACTGTTGGTGTTTGTATTTCCTGAGTTAGTAATTCAGCCTGTGCTTGAAAAATAATATTATTGATCTTGTTTTGTGCCAAATTGCTTGCCACTTTATCTAATTCGGACAAAGCTTTGGCAACATAATTCCCAAAAGCCTCATAAATTGTATCATTTCGTTTTGTTTTATGTTTGTTTGCAATTGACTGAGACAGATTCTTGATTAAGTGATACTCTTCTTCAGCTTGTTTCCTTCTGGACATTGCTCTTTTTTTAAGTGGTTCACTTGTTGATCTTACAATGCTCTGATCACCACTTTCCTCAGTTTGATTGGTTGGGCTGCTTAGAATGAATTGATCAGGGAAATCATCATCTTCACCCTCATCATTTTCTTCAAAACTTATCTCTGAGGATGGAGTACCACAACTGCCATGGGAATCCTAAAAATTAAACAAATATTTTATTTTCTAGACCCCGAACAATAAAGAAGATTGGCTACAAATTGCATCAGAATTTAATATGAAGTGGAATTATCCATTAGGAGCCATTGATGGGAAGCACATTGCTATTCAACAACCAGCTGATACAGGCTATGAGTTCTTCAACTATAAGCACTTTTTTAGTGTGATTTTATTTGCCATGGTTGATGCAAATTATAAATTTATTTATAATCATGTTGGAGCAGCTGGCAGAGCAGGTGATTCTGGGGTTTTTGCTGATTCTGCATTGAATAAAGCACTAAGAACAAACTCTTTAGATCTCCCAGATGCAGTTGCATTACAAGGGATATCAACAAAGATATCATATCATATTGTTGGGGATGATGCCTTTCCCTTAAATACCCGTTTAATGAAGCCATACCCTTATCGGAATTTGGAGAAAGAGAAGCGCATATTCAATTACAGATTGTCCAGAGCACGAAGAGTTGTTGAAAATGCCTTTGGCATTTTAGCTCATAGGTGGAGGGTATTCTTAACAACAATTAAACTATCACCTGACAAAGTCACGGACATAATTTTTGCAGCTTGTTGCTTGCACAATTTAATGGTTGAAAAAAACAAAGCAAGTTGCACATCAGCTGCAGACCTTGAAAACACAGATCATACATTGGTAAGAGAGACCTGGAGGAACGACCAAGTTTTGACCAATACACAACCAACCACCCTCCACAATGCGACAAAGGATGCCAAGACTCAAAGGGTACTTTTGACAGATTATTTTAACAATGATGGATCTGTCCCTTGGCAAAGCAGTATGGTTGCTTAGCCATATTGCTTACACAAACATGTATATATTTTCTGTAACAATTACACTATTATTAACTACACTATGAATTTTATACTCTCTTACTCTTTATATATATATATATATATATATATATATATATATATATATATATATATATATATAAATAAATGCCTTTATTTCTTTAATGTATTTACTTACCAAATCAATATTTGAAATTGAAGCCCGAGTTGCCACATGAGGTGTTAGAAACTGGAGTTTTTCAAGTAGCCATTGAGTGCGCTTTGTTGGGTTTTTTCTTGCACTTCCACTAGCTGGGGGCTTCTTTGCTTTGCTGAAGCTGTTTCTCAGGGCCCTGATTTTAGCTTTGCCCACTCACCTAGAATGAATAATTGAATTGCTGTCCGGTCAAAACGGCCCCAAATATTGGTATTTTTTACACTAATAAAATTTTGAATTATCTTACATGTTGTTCCAAGTTTTTCGGCCAGTTCTTGAAACGCTTTATCTCGTAACTCCCGATTCTTAAATTCTGGACACCGAACGTCGTCGGGCCATAAATCAGCTAATTTATCTTCCAGCACTGCATCAGCAACTATCGAGTTGTTTGCCGCCATCTTGACTTCAATAAAACATGGCAAGGACGCATGCGCGTTCGCATTGATTCCTGAGCTGATAGCTCAAAACGCGCGCACACTGTGTGTCAATGTTCACTCGTGCACGAAATTATTCAACATGTTGAATATTCTGAGCTCATGGCACGCGTGACAAAAATCGCAGAACATGACACCGCACACTTGAGGAAACAGCTTACGCCAACAGCCACGAGTGACGCTCAGCTCAGCTGATAGCTCTAGTGTGCGCCGGGCTTTACATGATCGAAAAGATTTTAAATGAAAAAAGGTTTTAAATGTGTTCCTCATTCAGCCCCTCTAAAACCCTAAATTGTTTTGCGTTCAGCCCAACGGATTGGATGCCTGAAACGTGCGCGTCGAGTTTTAAATGAAATTCAGTGAGGCATACGTTGCACTTGGCAAAAGTTCTGAAGTATGTTCTTCAGAGCATCCATGACAATAACAAAGCGCGAGCTTTCAGGAGAAACATTTTGCACGAGCGAGGCCCACTACTGGTAAATTTATGTAAACGCAATGGAAATGATGAGACCAGGTACCAGAATCACCTGCCCGTGAAGACTTTCAACATGCCAAAAAGATTATAATAAAAAATAAAATTGCCAATGATATTATAATCGTCATCCATCAAGACTTAAGTGCGAATTTCTCAAAATCAGTTTGTGCAAATGTCTCAAAACTATTGCGTTAATCCAAAGTCATCATGCTCAGATGAAAATTACAATCTTGTTCCGATTGCAAAACAAGGGTCACACTTGAAAATGGACTTGACAACAGTATTCTACAAGAAGATCAACAGGTTCTTGCACAAGTTTGCAAAGTATGAATCCTGTCCATCTGTCGAAATAATTTGTCCGAACCATCACTGAAGAGCGTTAGAGCCTTGATATCTCCTGTAGCGCTCAGAAATTTTAAGCTCAAGTTTGATCGCTTGACCAGTTTATTCGTTACCTTGTTCAACTAGTAAAGCTTTACGAAGAAGCTTTGACCCATTTTGAACATTTACTTCATTGAGTATTACTATCTGACCTTTTCATGGTGGAAGTACACCCCAGAGGGCAGGACACGTCGACATAATCACAATCCGCTTTCAAATGCAGAGGTTTCTCTTTACGGAGGAGTTGTTGCCCACAGGCACACCATATCTCTTCTTCTGGGCAGACTGACTTTAGCTGTAACGCATCTCCCCGCTTAAACTTGGCTGAGCACAAGCCACAGTGCTGCTCGATTTCTTGGCAGTCGTGGATAACATGCTGCCTGATATCCTCGGGGGGGACATCCCTCTCACAGCCCAGGCACTTGGCTGTCATGCCTTGCATCATTTTAGCCGCAAACAAGTTTCTACAGAAACTTATTCTTGGCTGCCTGCACATATGGCAGTTACGTGCCCCGTTTTGCACCATTCGTTCGGCGCAGTGACCGCAAACGGAATGACCACACGGGTGACTTATTTTGGCATCGACCATTGGACAAGTACTGCAACATGAATAAAGATAAATTAGGAATAACCACGAGACAACCGTGACTTGAAAAGTTCGTGATACATACCAAATCTCACATAAAAATTCCTGCGGAAAGTGGTAAAGTCGATAAAATCAAAATAGTCTTGTGAAGACGACATGCTTGATTTTCTGATTGAACCTTGACTTACGGAACGCACACCTAACAATCTGTTCTGAAGTTCTGCATACGCTGAATGACAACGCAACAAGCCTCCTTTCCATGGATGCCTAATCAAAACACCGGAAGTGGTTTAATGAATAGGGCATTTTAGTACGAACGAAAGCATTTTTGTTAGAAAAAAAGATAGCAATCGCGACTTAAAAACCACATGAGCACTAACACCCAATGTGTGAAAGTCGGCCAAACCTCGGTGAATGTCCTCACAACATTTTGCTAGATCCGGACGTCTGTTGGCCTGTTTTTTTCTCTATTATTGATAACTGTGAGAATTTTGTTCAAGATCACGACAATTTCTTTTTCGTGATATTCCGTGATTACCTTTGCTTGAGCACGTTGAATTTAAGGTCACTACTTTTACTCACGCGCAACTTTGTCGAAGGGGAAGCCATAGGAAAGGAAGGGAATAATTTGTTTCAATATGGAGCAAAAATATAGATGTGAGAAACGATTGCTAACGCTGACTTTTTTGTTTCAACATTTTAAGTGACAGATTTTATGTTCACATTTCATTCTTCTACAAGATCGCCACTGATCACGCTCAGCTTACTGGCCCTACTTGCCGCCTGCAAATTCGTGAACAGAGCATTTCGCGCCTCTTTTTTGAACACTGTGATTGGATGGTGATTTCAATCACGAGCGACATCGTTAGTCATGCCAATGATACACAGAAGAGAGATAGGGAAAGATCTAATACTTGGATTAGGTTACCATTATTTCTTCGCGTTTCACAAAACAAACAAACAAACAAAAACAAAAAAACCAAAGAGAAAAGAAAAAAGCAGGCAGGACTTTAAACAAGTCCGTGTCGAGTTGTTGCGGCGCAGTGACCTCATAGGTAATTGCCACACTGGTCAGAGACCTTGGCCATCGACCCAACAGACAAGTAATGCAAAATTTAAAAAATTGAATAGAAATGTAACATGAAAAAATTAAACACATACGTTAAGTTGATTTACGTTCAAGCAATAACCTCCTAGAACAACCATGTATGTGAAAGTTCGCGATACCTGCCGAATTTCTCGTAAAAATTCCTTTGAAATATCGCTGCGGTCGACACAACGGAAATAACGTTGTTCAGGCAACGTGCTTGAGTATGTTGTTTCATTGCAAAGGTAACTTTAAAATAAGTTTTCTTTTAAAACATTTCGCCTCTATACCCTAAGACAATAAGCTTTTCTCGAAAGAGTTTATGAGTCTATCAAACTCGTGCACGTCGATGATGGAAGATAGCTGTTGCACCTTCAAATATGTTTCCTTGAAATTAAAGTTCAAAATGCTCGCGTACTTCACAACAGGCTGTCATAATTTTTTTTGCAAGTTTCTGAGAAGTCTCCCTTTTTTTAAATCTATATGCAAGAAACTCAAAAGCAACTTCGCTGACCCACACATTATACCAGTCATTTGTACTTGGTCCGTCATATAATGTTTTTTCTTCAAAGTTTCAAGTAACATTACATTTTATTTGAAAGTAAGTTGAGAGTCAACTTTAATTTTATACGCTATAAATTTCTTCTGACCTCACATACAGATAAGGTTTTTAGGTGAGGTAATTTCGCGCTTCAAGGAAAAGAAAAAACCCTCTCATTAGGCGGAGATTCAACTCATGTCAACAACCGACAGCTATAATCAATTTGTGTGTGCACTAACTTCGTCAATTTCCTAAGGGAAAAACTCTTCGATTTTTTTTTGTTTTTTTGTTTTTTTGTTTTTTTTGTTATTAGTTATTGCATGGTGGAAACAAAGGAGAGAACATCACTTAATTTATATTTGTTTTTTTTTAGTTATTTAGCGACCATGCTAAATGGTTTCGGTTTACGTTTTCCACATTTGATGCGTCGCCTTCGAGTTTTAAGTGACAACATCAGAAATCATAGCAGTGATTGCTAGTTAGTAAGTTTCCGCCCGTTATCTTGACAGGCAATTCATGTCCTTGTCCACGGTAATACATTCAACATTTTACGTTGGTCCACAGGAGCCTCCGCCAAGCGACGGAATATTCTTGGAATTTTTGACATATAAAGATTCATTGTTGAAACTCGCTCTCTGAAAAGTAGACAGATATGAGGTAATTGGTTGGTACAATAAATCGTCATACCCGAATTTGGAGAAGCGATTTGTGTTTAATGATGTTAGAGAGGAAACTTATCGTCTCCGCAAGTTTACAAACTAATTTAGTATCTGAAGGGTTACAAAGTAGAACTTTGAAAGAGAAAAAGACAAAATTAGCGCAATGTTTACCATCATTGGCACATGCAAAGGCACGTTCTGTTACAGTGGATATTTAGCTATTAAAACTGCTCCTGCTCTCTAATCTCGCCACATCTGCTCATGGAGGAAAGCGGGGAAGTCCTCTCTTCTAACTCCCTTTTCTCTCTTTATGTGGTATTTTAGCCGTGTCCAAGCTGACTCTGCCGCCTGAGTGTGGACTCCAGTCAGGGGATCAACGAAATTGTCGTGGTGGACCACGCTTCCATGCACCGTCACGTTGGGAACGTGGCGATGCAAGTTTCTGTACGCGGCCCAATCGTCAGTGTGGACCTCGGAGCCAGGAAGGAGTACTCTCTGTAGGATTTGGCACAGAGTTGCCAGATCTCTTCGTTGCACTACTTGAAAATATTCCTTGCAGGGTATACCCTCGGTGGATATAACACCAAATACCCAACAAGGTCCGTTCCCTGCACGACGCCCTCTTTGATACTGGAAAAAGAGTCAGATACATACATATGTATATTTACATATTTAGTAAATAAATCCCATCAGGCCGCTGGTATGTGGACTGACAATGTCCTTGGCTGAAAGAGTGGTCCAAAAATGAAAATTCAACCGAAAAGCGAAGCTTCGAGGGCGAATGTGACAATTTTGAGGACGATACCACAGTCAAGGACATAGTCAAGCCAACATAGCAGCAAGCCAGAAAGGGCTATATTTCTTTTATAAACTATCGTACAAAAACCGTTGGTAAAACTTTCCAGAACAGCATTTGTTTCCAGCTCTAAAACACTATCACTAGACTCCACAAAATCAGTTTTTTTTTCCATATCAAATGATTAAGATGAAAAGGTAAAACTTTTGAACTGTCTTTTTTCCGCCGTTCCTTTTCTCCTTCTCAAAGATCATTTTATGAAAAAATATGTAGAATGTGAAGAATCTTTTAATTAATTTCTTTCTAATTCAACAACGCAGCGTTGTAATTTTGAACAGTTCTTCTATACCAGTATACGGACCATTATTTTTCTGAAGGGCAAGTATGAGAACCGTTAAAAAAATTGTTTTTAGGGTCTGAAAAGAGAAAATAAATTGTT